TAATTTTTAATAGAAGGCAACAAGGCATTAGAGTCTGACGAGGAGGGCCACGTAATGGAGAGTAAGTTAAAGTCGCCTTAAACAATAAACTGATCATTATTAAACATAAGTGATGATATATATTTCATTTCCCAAATTTCGCCCGAGAACCAAATCTCCGTGCCATAGAAATCTTTTGGGAGTTTTCAAATCTTGTATGTTTTGCCTAGAGATTTGATTAAAAACACTAACAAGGACATTATTCGAAATAGAAAAATTCTTTGGAATATAAACTGTTGATTTACATTATTATATTTTGTATTTTTATATTTAAGTTGACATTTATGAAGTGGTTGAAATTAAGTTGTTAGTCATTTAAGATAGTAGATGTAAGATTGAATTGTTAGTCATTTAAGTTAATAGAAGTAAAATTGAATTGTTCATTTAAGCATAAGTTTGTAATAGAAGTCAATGTTGTCATATCTTGCGCCACTGTACAAATGAGTGGGTTAATGTAAAACGGTATTAATCCAGCTGTCAACCTAAGCAATCGCGTCTTTATGTTGCCGAAAATAAACATTGTCTCTCTCAGCGGCCGTTTTATTGAAGCGCAACAGCCAACTACTTTTGTCTACTTTTCCGCAGTTCCATTTGTTTGCAGCTATTTCACGTAAATTGATAGCTGCATTTTTTTTAAATTTCGTATATAAAATTTACATAAACATTATAGTTTTTCTGAACAATTCCATCAAATATTTTGCATATCCTATATAAATAATTATTATTATTAAATATTAAATATTATTAAATCTCTAGTTAAAAGACTACCATTCACACACAGCATTCAAAACAACCGAACAATAGATATGCCCCATTGGCCCAAATAGAACAGTAATTCTTCCAAACATCACATTTTGCTGAATTAAGTCTTATTTTGTGAGTCAAACGAAAGTCAAAGATAAAATATTTAATTCACGCTATTCTTGTTTTAAATAAGTACCAATTAACTGTGTATTAATTGAACAATCTTGTGTGCCGCCGAGTGGGAAGATCTATTGTTACAAATGCAGTGCATATCAGGGCTGTGATGTGCATTCCATAGCTTGTCGGAAAATTACTTTATATTTAAGTTAAGGTTTTTATGGGTTAACCGAGTATCGTTTGATTATTTAAGAAAATCCTTAATAATATTTTAAGTTACGTAGCTAATTTACTAATTGCAAACAAGAAACGAAAAATAAATATGAAAATATGGAATTACCAGATTTAGTTTTGTGCGCTGGCAACCCTATCAAGTATGTTAGTTTACTTCATAATCAGTCAGATGTTGCAAAATGAAAACTCTCGACATTCTGTGGCACCGACGGATTTTTTTTTAGAGATTTCAATAACAACTCTAGCCAAAATATCTGGAGATTTCGTGGGCACCCCTGTATGCGTTGCCCAACTATTTTATTGAATGTCTACGCGGAGCTTTCTAGGAAACCCATTTTCGTCTCGTAGCACATGAGCGACGCGCCTGTACAGCCGGCCATTCTGCATTGCGTAGTCAGGGCACTTCTCGGGATGCTCAGACGCTGAAGCCATTTGCCCGTTGTTGGCGCCTCTGACTCGCCGTGACCTTTTCCAGGTACTTTGCGTGGTTGTCGTGGCTCTGCGTCTGCTACTACGTTCATGCGAGCACTTGCGGTATTGTACGTTGAACATGTACTGTCTGTAAACAGAAGCGTTAGCTGAAGTCGGGACGAGCCGAAATAGGAGCCTCCATCAGTTGCTCGAACGCCTGTTGTTGCGCCTGTTTCCATGCCAATTACTTGCCCTTCTTCAGCACTGACCCGACTGTCGTCGCAAAGTTGGGCACGAACCGCCGGTACCATGATGTACTGCCGCAGCTGTTTTAAGTTCGTAAGGGGTTTCAACTCACGTATGGCTGCCACCTTTTCTAGATCCACCTATATACCGTTTTCTGTCACCAGATGATCCAGGTAGCATAGAACCTGCGAATAAACTCACACTAATATTGATTTACCCACAAATTTGCATTCGAAGGAATGTCTTCGCCACCACAACTATGTCCTAATGGTCGCAGAATGGTGGCTGGGACCGAGTGCAAGCCAAATGGCATTACTCGGCATTAGAAAAGGCCCCGTGCGGGCACCATGAAAGGGGTATACCTGCGACTGCCTTGCTCTATAGGGATCTGCCAGTATCCGTATCGAAAGTTGTTGATGTACTTTGCCTGTCGTAGCTGTTCGAGAATATGCAGGATTCTCGGGATGGGATATGCGTCTGGCTCCGAGCGCTCATTCAGCTGGTGGTAGTCGATGCTCATGCGTCACCCCACCCCACCCCCCCTCCCCACCCCCCATTCTTCTTGCGTATCAGTACTATGCGAGCGCTTTTGCCAGCAATTCGTCTACCTCGTGGTCAATCATCCGCTTGCATCGCAGGGTTCCTCGGATAGTAGCGCTGTTTGACGGGCCTGTCGTCTTTAACGCGGATTGTATGTGTTGCCACTGACGACATGTCAACAATGTTATCAAAACATGGAAACTCCTCCTGAAGGAATGTGGCCACTGCCAGCCTTTTCCTCTGTTAGCATGGCTGCTGACGGAGCCCCAGTTCGCTCTGCTGTTAGTAGTGCTGTACACCGTACCCTTCGAACGGTACTACTTCGGCCCAACTCCTCCAGTTCCATCGCCTTCCGTTTGAATTCCGTCACAGCGGCGTTATTGGTGGTGCCGCGGCATCTGCAGGTGATAGGTGCAGGCTGGGCGAACCTTCCTCTGGGTGGTGGATTTCCAGTTGTTCCTTTGCCGGTACAGGACTCACCGGGCGTAGTCACGCCACAGCCATAGACAGACAGAGCGACGGAAGAGTCTAGATCGATTTCTCTTGCCATGCTGATCAAGAATATATATACTTTATGTCTCGTTCGTGTGTGGAGCACGAAATCGGAATATGAAACATGGCACTCGTGCTAACGCAGAGTTTGTGAGTGTGTGTATGCAAAAAGTGCACAAAACATAAAACCCAATAATTCAAGCTCCTAGAAAAATTAAAAAATACAGAAATTTTAAAAAACTACATGTGTAAAGTTTGGCTCAAGAATTAAAAATATAGACAGAATTGACGAGGATATTCCCCTAATCTATATATAAAACAGTTTGTCCTGACTGACTGACTGAGCAAGAAATGTTAATTAATTGAAAATTATATAACATTTTTAAAAGTAATTTTTTCTTTGTTTAGTGCATTTTGCATTAGGGTTTTCATTAATAACTTTATGCAGCAACAACAAATATCAAATAGTTGGGGACATCACATACACACACTCACACACACAACAAGCAACAGTTCAAGTCTATGTGTGCGGTTCTCTACGTACGGCTGAAAAAGGAAAGAGAAACATACATATGTATGTATAGTATGTATGTATGCCTGTGTATGAATATAGCATGTATGTACATTCGTATTAATATATACATTGGGAAATCGAACACAGTTGTTTGATTGTAAAAAAAATAATGTTCTAAAAACAACAACAACTGCAAGTCATTGGCTCGCTCTTCTTCTTTCGTTTTGACCATTTAATGTTAATTGCAAAGGCAAAACGCCAAAAGTTTACAGTTACCGTCGCTAGGCAACGACTGCGTAAGCGATAGTAAAACAGAAACCGAATAACGGAGCTACGCATATTCTGCTTCGCATTGCGAGCAGATGTATGTATGTATATGATTTGTTCTTATTGATAAATAATAAATAAATAATTAGATTTTTTTATTTAAATATTCTGCTTATTGCATTCAAACTTCGATATTTTGATGGTATCGGTGGCTTCAACTATCGAAAGTTTTACTCTAGCAAATTGAGATGAGAATTGTCAGTGCTTTTTGATCGTGGCTCATCGCTGCACGGCATTGACACGAGTGCCGTGTTTCATATTCCGAGTTTGTGCATGACCGTATTGACTCAATATGGCACGAAAAGACTCAAATGTGAATTTAAAATTAGGATATACCCTTATTATTATTCCCCTTTTTTGCACATAGTCTATCTTAAAACGTTGCGTTATCTCTATATATAAAACAGTTTGTCCTGACTAATTGGTGATCAACGCACAGCCCAAACGGTAAAAGATGAAATTCGGACTCAAGTATCCTTTCATAGTATCCATCATAGTGTAGGAGCACACTAAGAAAGGCTTCTGGAAAATTCTAGCTCCAAAGGGGGGAAAACGAGCTTTAAAAAATATTAGTTATAGTGGTCATGTTCGTTTAACGAAATAGTTTGGCAAGAACAAAAATGTAACGGACTACTGAACAATTTTTTGTCAAGAACAGAAAATACCTTAAATGCCTTCCTACTGGTAACTTATAAGGTGAAAACATATGGGTAGGTTATGCACACACAAAATAAATACAATTGGAAACATTATATTGAGCCGGGTTAAGGCAGGCAATACCTGCTAGTATCAAATAAATAAAATAAAATCATATTTCCTGGGGATAAGTGGGGTCTACATTACCAAGTTTGACCTCAGCCTTTGCACTCAGCCTTTCCTTGAATCCAGGTGTTCATCCTGTCATTCGACCGGTGGACGGACAGGCGGACGGACAGGCGGACGGACATTTCTAGATCGATTTCTCTCGATATAATAGCACATTTTTTAAGAAGGTTTTCTTTTCTATTTGACCTTTAATAAGTGACTTATCATCAGTGACAGTTGGACCTTTAATAGTTGACTAAAAAATATCAATTACACTGATTTGTAGTTGTACAAAGAATGATGAACTTCTTTGCTTTTCGTTATAGTCCCGTCTGCAATTTTTGTTTCTTCGGTGACGAATTGACTGCACAGCAAATAAAATATTCCATTAATTAAGAAACATATGCAATATCAATTGATCTTAGAATATCGTTATCATCTCTTTTTTATTTTGTTGATTACAGTCTTATATAAAGAAAATGTATAATGAATGAATGTAAGCATGTAAGCTTTTTGCAAAATATTAATTTACCTTCAATTTCATTGTACGGTCCTTGATCACACTCCATTAGCGAGCTGCCCGATAGCTTAATATCATTAGCTTTTATATGTTGATAATGATTCTGGGACTTGCCATCTATTAAAAAGAAGAGCAATTATAATATTAAAAAATATATATGTTGGTGCATGCTTTAGCCAATAATACAAATTAGGTCAGATATGCGCTAAATATTTGAACGCCACCAAATATTAAAAAGTCAGTCGGATTCGCAAGCCAATTCCCACATTCCATAAATGCTGACCTGACGTTTGCATCGTCTACATGTCGCTGCCATGACGTTCATTGCACTCAATCCACTGCTGCCGTCAGCCGCCTACGCTACCGCCGTGTTCACTGCTGCCGTCCGCAACCGCTGACACAGCAGAACTGACCAACTTCGTTTACATATAAAGAGCGTCATTATCTTTAAGCTAATCAGTTGTAGAAAACTATTACAACCAATAAAGACACAATTAGAAGTTAACCCTGCGTGTAATTTCTCACCACAACTCTGAGTCAACCTGGTGCCGGTGGCATTGGTCATACTGCTATTAGTTTATGTGCTAAATAGCAACGACAAACAAGTGCTTTTCCTAATTTATGTTCCAGCAGCAGCAGCATTCATCTTCAAATTTTGGTGACCCCGACGTGATAATACAAGATCACGACTTTCAATTCACAACGCATTTGGAATGATTGGTCAGCAAAAACGTCCAATTAAGAGTAGCAATAGAAACGTCAACGAGGCTAGGTTAACATAAATATTCTTCGGCTAAACATAGCTCAACGGGGGACCGCATGCAGGAAACTTCATTCTGTGGTAAGATTGGTCAACAATCTACGGAAACATCAACGAAGGAGCACTTCAGTACAGACGGAAATATTTCGTCGACGAACCTCCATTGATATCCTGTGTATACTTCATAGAAAGCGAAACAAAAACACCTGCAACAGGTCTGACCACTGATATATGAGGTTGTAGAAAATGGCTGACCACCGAAATTGGAATCACTACTTCTTAAGCACGCGTCACTTGGCGACGAAATCGAAGTGTTAGTCATGAATTACAAAAGAGATTCCAAGGATAGGAAGACTAAGGCACTCTACGAAGTTAATCAAGCAAAACTAGTCAGTCTTCGAGAGCAGTTCCAATCAGGTAATGTGGCAGTCTCTACTGCACGAATTATTAAAAGATAGACCACGAGAACTTAGAAACCATGTACTTCCTTATTCAATGAATGATTTATCAGCATGATCAATGTGGACGGCGTATGCTGTTGAACAAACATTGAGCGTCGAACCACACCTGAGACGTCAAAACGCCACTAGGAATATGCGCCAGGGCCATGTTAATAACGAGAGAGTGCTGTGTTCAGCGCTTCTTAAGAAACTGATCAACCACAAGTGGTGAGGAAGTCGGCATAGATAAAACAGGCATAGATAAAACGCGGAATCTGATTTTGTTATACGTCTTAACAAGAAAGTTGGATTGCCAAACTCATACCCTGTGTGAACAATCCGTATCGGATACCCGACGACTACAGCCAATCCAGGAGTATCTCTCCTACTGAGACCAACGCTTTCTGGCGTTGGAGGCCATTGAAAGGAAGCGACTGGTTTCAGTTGTTATCGGCCCCAGAATGCCTAAACTGGGCACAGCAACAAAGGTTATGCGTTAACTGTTTGTGTACAAGCTGGCACACTGGCCAGCGCAAGAATCAATGGCATTGGAGGAAAACATAGGCCCGCAAAAACAGTTGTTCTCCCAGAATCAAAGATCAATGATTCTACTACAAGGGTAGAGGATCTTGTGCTACCGCACATTGTTCCTGATAAACCTACGCAATAATTGAAAGCAGCTACTAGAAACTTGCCAACCGACATATCGCTGGCAGACCTATATTTTCACAAACATGGGAAGATTGCCTTCCTTCTGGGTGCTGAGGCTTATTTCGCATTAACACACAGAAACTAACCAAATCGGAACACATGTAACAATACTCTGCCGGCCAGAGAGTGCTGAAATTGAATTTATTGGCACCCCAAAGTGCAAATAGTGAGACACACGGTTGAGATATATTCCAATATATATGCTTTAATTAATCCACATGGCCTTCCATGTGTCCACTCCTGATCGCCTCCAGACTCCGACTAACCTAAAACTAAACTCCTTACAGTCGTACAAAACTATACTTATGAATTTACATAATAAACTAGGCTTACAACTACATCCACGCCTTATGCGCCTACAGTCATATCGCTCGTAAAGACGACCTGCGTGTAGCAGAATCCAGCTAGCGCGTCGTTGCACACAGCTGCCGTTATTACAAAACTATCATCTCGGATGGATTGTAGCTGAAAAGAGTAACATGGCATCCCATCGTGAGCAACTTAACTAATGATACGCATGTACTCATTAAGCGCTTCCGGAAAATCAAAGCCCTAGAACGAATCAAGCCACAGCGCGCACCCACTGAAAAACGATGTAAAGAACACATCGTCCAGAATCGTTCAAAAGTTATCAATGCAAAATTAAAATCACAAATTTCTGAAAACATTTCAGCCCTGTGGGCGCCTTGTGATGTTGTCTTAGAAAAGCGACTGACTCGGAATTCCACTGTACAAACCAACTAGGTGAAGCCCATGGCCGGATACGAGAACTTGGGACACATGGAGAAGGTGCAGCAAAGGAAAACACCAGCATCATTGCGTCGGAAATCGAGTCAGTCACACTACTAAGCTAAGAGCACAAGCACAACACACCTCTTTCATATGTGCTCACTCACTCACGGCTTGCGGATCTCTGTGTAAGCATTTCAAGCACAAAGAGAAAGAGCTTCAAACAGAAAACATTGTTGGAAACATCGCGAGTAGCTTATTTGGTTTTGTGAGGAAATTTAAAAAACCATTTCTAAAGTAAAAACCAACGTAGACTATTTATTAACAGTTATCAACAATTAAAAAATACATATGTTTAGAATAATTATAGAAATTAAAAAAATTTTAAAAAAAATTTGATCGATTTTACCTCTCTTGGTATTCAAACTCACGTAAAGGGTGTATAAGTGCACATTTGCATAGCAATTGCATCTATGTGAGCGTATATGTATATGCACGTCTATTCGTGTCTGTGTGAGCATGTTTGCAGTCCACCAAACAGCAACATCAACAACAGCTGCGGGCAGCGCTTAGGTAGCAAATATATTTATGGCTATAACTTCCTGCTAAATCGGTCTATCATGATGGATGGCATATGGACACATAATCACTAACTGGGGGTATTTGCAAAATTTGACTTCGAAATTCCAAGAATTATGGGAGTTAGGATTTGCGCGGGAGAGGGGGGAAGGAGGGAAATTCCAAAATACACATATTCTGCGTATTCACATAAGGCATCTTGGACTTGTGTCCCTAGGTCTTATAGTCTCCAAGATATTTGTGATTATACGAACGGCGTTTCTAAAAATCCCCCGCAGCGAAGAGCAAGCCCAACAGTAAAATACTCTGTACTCTTCACAAAAACAAATTTAAAAAAAAATGATTATGAACAAATTAAATTCATTGATTAAGTTAAATAACAAGTAGAGAAGCTAAAGTCGGGTATCCCGACTTTGAAATACTCTGTACATATGTGTAGAATAATTATGGATGTCTTTGCGTGTATGTGTGTGTTTGTGTGGCTGTGTGTTTATCTCGTGTGCCTGTGTAACAACAACAACAGCTGCGGGCACTGCTTGGTCACATATACATTTTTTTTATTTTTTATTTATTTATTTACTTCATCGACAAAAAATGCAGTCGATGTAAAAGAAAAAAGAAAAAAATATATATATACAAGTATACATAAAACAAGTCAGAACGCTACAGTCGAGCAAGCCCGACAGTAAAATAGCCTGTACTCTCCACAAAAAAGGACAATTTAAAACAAAAAATAAAAAAATTAAATTATTAAAAAAAATGAATTAATTAATTTAATTAAATTAGTATACATGTTTATGTTCAGTTTAAAAGTTATCAAAGTTGAACCAAAGCAGCAACAACAAGAACAGCTGCGGGCAGCGCATGAGCAGCGATTTTATTTATGGCTATAACTTTCTTCAGAATTGACCTATCGTGATGAAACTTGATTTCCAAATTCCAAGAATTACGGAAGTTATAAGAAAAAACACAATTGCGGGGGAGTGGGGGGGTGTATCAAAATAAACAAGAGAGAACGCTACAGTCGAGCAAGCCCGACAGTAAAATACACTGTACTCTCCACAAAAAGGAAAAATTAAAAAAAAAAAATTTTAAAAAAATGAAAATTTAAAAAAAAAGAATGAATTAATTAATTCATTAAATTAAATTAGAATACATGTTTATGTTCAGTTTTAACAGCATACATTTACATCACGTACCTATGCGTGTTTATATGCGTGTATGTATGCATGAGCAGCGATTTTACTTATGGCTATAACTTTCTTCAGAATTGACCTATCATGATGAAATTTGGCACACGGACACATTAGTACTAACTGGATGTACCTACCAAAATTGATTTTAAAATTCCGAGAATTACGGAAGTTATAGAAAAAATAAACAAACTCGATCTGCCTCAAAACCAATTCTCGGTGCCAAGCTTTTGGGAGGTTTCAAACCTCGTCTGTTTTGCCAGGAGTTTTGATTAAAAACACTAACAAAGACATTTTTCCTCATTAAAAAAAATCATTGGAATATAATTCTTATAGTTTTTCTGAACAATGTGCATCAAAAATATTTTCCATATCCTCTGTCAATATTATTAAATTAGCAAATGGCTAAAAAGAAAATTTCATTTTTCGATTGTGATTTAAACGAAAGTTAGAAATAAAATATATGTACATATATTTGACGCAATTGTTGTTTCAAATAACTGTGTATTAATTAAACAATCTTGGCGAAAATTGTGTGTAGCAGATTGGGCAAGTTAGTGCTTGTTAGCGAAAATGCGAATAGTCATAAACTGACTTTTGAATATACAACAAACAAAATGTAAGTACATTTTGGTAATTTCTAAATTCAATTCCAAATGGTAATTTTTGCAAAACATAGATCGCCACAACAGGACGCAATTTTCG